ATTTAAAAAAAAAAAAAAAAAAAAAAAAAAACCTAATTATGTCAGAGCCATACTAGAAAGTCAGGGGAGCTGCATCTCTACTGCAAACCGGGGCCAGTACGCGGCTCATGAATACATCCATCTGTACCGGATACTGTCCTCTTCGTCGTAATAGAACGTATATGGTCATTATAGCTGTAGTTGGGGTAACTTTCAGTCTTGATACAGGGATAATGAACCTTTTTTTTTCTTTTTTTTTCTCGTTTTTTATTATTTTAATCATCCCGCTGACTTTGCGGCCTGGGGTGGTAAGAGCAACCCCATGTTGCAAGCCCCCCCCCGAACCGCTCCTGTCTAGTGGTGGGGACCAGCAGCTGCAGGAAACCGGGTCCAGCGTCCCATTATTGGCAGTGTCCCACTATTGGGAATGTCCCATTATTGCCAAAGTATGTCCTGCTGGGACCATGACCCGGTTTCGGCGGATAATTTTGGGCCTTGCCGCAAAACTTTTTTTTTTTTTTTTTTTTGGCCGTGCCTTGCCGCAAAACTCACCAAATGCACAAAAGACAAATAACGGCGGTGCATCTTTCCATGTTCTGGTGGAAGACTCATTCTCATTTTGTGCATTTTGGTGAGTAGTGCGGCGGAGAAGTTTGGGCCTTGCCGCAATACTAAAAAAATGCACAAAAGACAAATAAGGGCGGTGCATCTGTCCCTGTTCTAGTGGAAGATTCATTCTCATTTTGTGCATTTTGGTGAGTAGTGCAGCGAGGCCCTTTCAAGCAAAAAACACAAAGCACAAAACACACACTTTGACACTCTGGGTAAAATTGCATGCTGTTAAAAACAATAACTAAAAATAAAAAAATAAAAATAGAAAATAATAATAATAATATAGTTTTTTTAAAAATAAAAAATTGCATGCTGAGAACCCTGCCTCTTCAGCTCCTCCAGGAGCCACCAGAAAAAAGACACTGCTTGCTGGCAGGGCTTCAGCCTACGGTCTTCACTCGAATAAAACGCCCGGCCATTATCGTTGCATATGGACCGAAGTTGTGCTGAATACAGCTATTATGAGCGGGCGTTCTATTCGGGTGAAGACGGTAAGGAGCAGTCATTTGCCCCCATACCATTGTGCATCAACCATGGTGAAAGCTGGCGGCGGAAAGACCTCTGGAAACTCTGAGAGGGGGGGCCAGCGGGATGGAGGGGTCTATCTTTGTCCAATCATGAAAAAGGAGGCGATAGTCCCTTCCAACCCCTCCCTCCCCCCCTCCCCCCCCCCCCCCCCTCCCCCCCTCCCCCCGGGGGGTGGGTCTTCTCCTTCTTCCCCTTTCCATTCCGTTTTTGCGATCCAACCCCCTCTTGCCCCCTCCCAGCCAGTCCTTGCTGAATTGTTCAATGAATGTGTTGTCGGATTTCCGTTTTTGAGTGTAATTATGTTAATTTGTCCCTTACTCATGTTAATTTGTCCCTGACTAATGTTAATTTGTCCCTTACAATTGTTAATTTCTCCCTTACTAATGTTAATTTGTCCCATTTGTCCCTTACTAATGTTAATTTGTCCCTTT